CCCCCCCCCCCCCCCCCACTTAATCCGGCCCTGTTCGATGAGGATGAGTAACGTTAGACCGATCGTGAGCGTGGACTGTAACGTTAGGCCTGTCTAGAGTTACTCTGAGGCGACAGCTAGACTTCGATCTGAGAACAGTACGTCCACGAGAATAAAATGCATGTTCGCCGCCATCATTAATAAGGATGTCCATGCACGGTATTTCCATATCGGACTTTGCCAAAATGACCACCGCTAACCACTGCTTCGGTCTCACCTCATCCCATGAACTCGGCACAAATGCATAACAAACGTGAAAAAATACAAGATCCAGACCGATACGAAAGCAGAAGCAGTCATGAGTCCCACATAACTCCAGCACGATATCCAGCAACCGTGGGGGACGGGACTGGAGCCAGCAAGCAAGGCCTAAATGAACGCATGCTGTTTTCTTTTTTTTGTTAAATGAAGCATCACGAACAACAGAAAGGGCACTTTTCGTCATCTGCAAGTCGATATCTTTCTTATGTTTGGTCTCTTTCCTCCGAAAACCCCCCAGGAGTGGCTACAGAAGGTGGGTTGGGAAAGGGAAAAAAAAGGAATGGAACAGACATCTTCAACAAGCGAGATTGCGTTCACCGCAACCCCGAGGAGATGGAGCTTCAAATTTGCTGGGGCGATTGTGTTGAGAAGGTAAGAAGCATACCCAATTTAGTTCCAGTCGATGCTCTCAGAGAGGTGTGCAAGGAGGTTGAATTCCTTCACGGGAAGGAGTTGAAGAAATGGGCGCTATCGCTACTATTCGTTCTTCCTGCACCCATTATATACCGACCATCGTTCGACAGAGCACATATTAAGTCCAGTTTTGTCGGTAAAGACTGGATGCTTCTCCTGCCCCTCTGAAAATACCACTTGCAAGAGAACCAGGAGATGGGGACTGTCGACTTCAACCTTTCTCCGACAAATATCCTCGAGCGACAAATGTAAATCCCTACGTCCAGTTACTTTCATTGCCTCCTCCGAAACGTGAGACTTCATTGGCAGAGCCTTTCGGAGGTGAGTCTTCATTTCCTTCTCTGAAGCGACGGGTTCAACGATCGAGATCATTTCGATGGTGTCGATCACCTCCATGTGGATCATTTTTCTTCCGCCCGCTCTCACCCTTTCTCCCATCCCACACCCGACCGATCCTTAGAAATTCACCCCACCATCTCCTATCCGTTCGCTCATATATATCAAGGATACTGCACACGATGTCCATGCCGATACCATAATTAATTTGAAGGCGACAGTTTATACGTAGCTTCCTTTTCGATAGAGCAATGGCTTCGTCGCCCATTTTGCACCCCTGCGCTCCCCGTTCGAGTATTCGTGATGTAGGCCTAGCAGGAAACGAATGAGACAAGGCTTCGGGAATGGGAGACGGGTGCCCCATAACCCAGACAGTCTTGTTGTTGTTGTTGAGAATGTGAAGATGAGCCTTTCGCCTTCCCGGCGATTATGGCTCAGTGATCCGGATTGTAGGACTTCGTGGGATTTCTCACTGCACATTAAAGAATAACTTAGAAGTAGGGGGGAACAGACACAATATCTAAAATTAATACCCTGGATAAGTTTACTGCCCCACTGCGCCGACTTACACGAGACAACACATCGGGGTCAACAGGCCTTGTTAGGACATGAGGGAAGGAAGGCTCAATCCATGTGACCGGAAGAGAGTGAGAGAGGGAGAGAGAAAGGGGAGTATTGCATATCATGTATACTAGGGCCTGATTTTAAGAAAAAGAATTAGGGTTAGCAGACAGTCTTGGAACTCAGGATCTGGCCCCGAGGCCGCGCTCTTATACCTTGGCCTACGTGGTTTTTTTATGTATAAGTTTTTATGTCTCTGCAAAGTGGAATTTATAATAAGAAATAGCGAAGAGGTCATTTCCTAGTTGATCCTTTCTAGGTACTTGACTTAAATGCTCTCCAACAGACGGAAAGTACCGATATTTTCAGGAAAATATCTCATACTAACACTGAACCTCCTTTTCTGCACACATCCCAGATGGACTAAATTGAATATGGTATGAGGGTGTTAGGATGAGTTAGAGAGACGAGGAGGAAGAGGGGAAGGAGAGGGGAGGGGAAGTGGAGGGAGAGGGGGAGGAGAGGGAAAGGGAATTGGAGGGAGAGGGGAAGGAGGGAGAAGGGAAAGGTGAAGATGAAGGAGAGGGAGAGGGGGAAGGGGAGTATATCCTCCCCGGCTCCCCCCTATTTTATTACCCTTTATCGGAAGTGATAGCCATTGCTAATAGCTTCATACGAACTCAGCACGGCCTCAGAACTAGGAGATAGCCTGAGAGTGCTTCCTGCCTTTATTCCCTCCTCTCTCTCTCTCATCGATCGAACCGGGAGAATCTCGGTCTTCCATCATTCTTTGCAAGCCGTTTGTAAGGAAGGATAGAAAACCGGGAGAGTTGGAATTTCCAAGTTAAAGAAAAAAGAAAGTACTTTTATTCGATTCCTCAACGTAGAGCCGGCCTCTCCTCGTTCGCGGCAGGTTCCTCCCGTGAATGCACCTCTGGGAATCCACGAGGGCTCGTCCTCGTTAGGCTCATCCAGGGTTTCTCGACGCGTGGATCGCGAAGCCTCTACCGGCACGATGCCCTTTAGTCGACGTCTGTCTCCGTCTTCGTTCGGTCGAAAGAGACATCGCAGTTAGCCGCTTTCACATGCTATCGTCGCCACTTCGCCGATGCTGTTCGTTTATCGAGGTAAAATTGCGCAAAAAAATATTTTTTCTGCCTCGGGGATGACTGCTTTTGAAGGGAAAAAAAAAACTCCTAAGTAGGAGCAGATTGCACGAGGAGCACATTTCAAAAAAGATCCCACGAGGGATCGTGTCTGGCCTCCCCCCCAACTAGAAACGTCAGCGATGATTTTCAAGATTTTCTCCCATTTTAAAGGAAATTTTATAGACCCGAAGCACGGAAAGCCAACGTCGAGCATCGGAAAGTCGAAACGTCGTCGGGCTCGTGCCGATCGAGAGGAGTCATATAAACGGGATGGAAATCCAAAGAAACGCGAACGCAAAAACGCATGAGCGGTGTGACCGGTGACGGCACGGATTTCCATCCCAACTCGACGTCATCGTCGCGAAAATCTGCTCGAAGCGAGCAAGAGAGACGAGGGAGATCGGCGTCTCGAGGCTTTCCGAGCTAAAGTCAACTACGATCGAATACGGATTTCCCGGTGAGGCATTCCTGCAGCTCTTTTTAAAAGGTTCCCCTCGGAGAGGCCAGCCGCTGCACGTTCGAATTCCCGTATTTTTAGATGGTGTTCTCCGGAAGGAAAGGGAAGAAGAACGATGGAAACCCAAAGCCATGGAAGTTTATTTTCCATGTCTGTCAGCTGCCACTACGGTTTCTATAAAATTTTCATGGAAAACCATCGATGAATCGATCCACAGAGCAAAACACGAAATCCACAGGGCCTTAGCGATTCGTGACTCTTCGGTCTGCAACACCGGGGTGGGGCGACGAGACGGCAAAAGGGAAGAAAAAGCAGTCGTGTACGATCTCGCTCGTGAGAGTGATGCGAAAACCCGATCCAAATTCTCTTCGAATGGAATGTGAACACGAAAATCGTAATACTCGTCGGAGAGCGAAATGCATTGCGGTACGGCATCGCAGACGGTTGCGGTTGCCTTCGCGGAATGAGCCGAGCACGAGAGAGAATCTCCGAGGCGAGAGATACGAAAAAATTACACTACTATCACATCTTCGTTTTCTTCACGTGGCGTATGCACAGCGAAAAATAGGGGGAGAAAACTGCGGGGGGAAAAATACATCTGCGTGGGGGAACGCTACAGGAGTGTGCTTTCGGACCGTCACGGTGGAGGCGCTGCTCCGTCTCCGGCTTCTTCTCCGCCTGCAGTCGGCTCCTCCGGCACTTCTTCGGCCTCCTTGGGTGGATCCTCGTTCTGCGGCTCTTCGGTCGGGACTGCCAGGTCTTCTGCCACTTCCTCGGTCTCTTCTGCGGCCCCCGAGTCCGGAATCTCCACCGTTGCTCCCGCCTCCTCTTCCACCTCTGCTGCCGGGGCCGCTTCTTCCTCCGCCGGGGCCGCCTCCTCGACCGCCGGTGCCGCTTCCTCCTCTGCCGGGGTCGCCTCCTCGACCATCAATGCCGCCTCATCGACGACCGGAGCCGCCTCCTCGGCTACCGGTGCCGCTTCCTCCTCTGCCTCCTCTGCCGGAGCCGCCTCTTCGACTATCGGTGCTACTTCTGCAGGTGCATCTTCGCTCGGAGCCTCGTTCGATCCCAGCGATTCGGCAGGGGGTGGAGGCGGTGGAGCCGGTGCCCCGTCACCCGCTGGCCCTTCCTTCGGTCAAAGTTCACTCGTTAAGCACGCACACGTAAGCGGGGAATCGGAACCAAGGACAACGACGAGAGAAAAACACAAAGGGGTTCGAGAGTGAGTGGTGTAGATAAACGGGGGGTCATGCGGGAAAGGTGGAACGCAGTGCACGGTCATTCATGGAAGTCCCCTCGATAGGCAGATAGGAATATGTCCACGGTGACGGTGACGATCGACAAGAGCCGAATTATACCTGGGCTGTCACCTCGGCTGCTCCGTTCGTCCCAGTCCCCGTCCGAGGCTCTGGAGTCTGAAAAGCAACGACATCGAGCATCAGTAAATCACCAACTTAAAGGACGATAGGACGGATTTTTAAAATTAATTTAATGTTCTCTTCACGATATAAAAAAAATTGCGCGCATCGTCGTACGATCGTGATCGATGGGCGAAAGTAAGGGTTTCGACGGTTTCTGTGCACATCTCCATCAAAGAGTTCCATGCCAAAGTGTCACCGAGAAAATGTGTGTTCGTGAAACATTCTCACGTTGCTGGCGATGGAATCGGTAACGAGAACCGAGAAAAACTTCACGTATCATTCCTTATCGTTTACCGTAAGTCGAATACATCTTCGCTTTCTCCGGCTCTGATAAAAAACGATGAAAAGGCGGAAGAAAAGAGAAGTTTACGAAGCCGAGTGCCTGTGAATCACACAGATCATGCAGGGTGACCGACAGCCCGAACGATTGCCAAACTCAAGGGGAAACAAATTAATTTCTGGAGGACGGGTACGTGGTTTACCCTGTATGAGAACGCCAGAGCTACACGGACAAAAAGGAAGCGCAAGAGTCATTCCAAAACATCCTTTTTAAAGGTAAACGTCGAGGATGGAAAAGAGGAGGCATTTGCTTTACCTGAAGCCCAGAGCGTTTTCCCTCCGAACTCCCAAAACTGGAGGTGCTCCGGGTCATCCTGGAAGAACTTCTGTTGCTGGACTGCTTTTGTTTCAAATATTCCTTATCATCAAAAATCTTTTTCTCCCCACCGCCGGGTCGGTGGTTGGCATTCTCCAACGAACCGATTTTACTCTGTGCTTTCCCCCGGAATTCCAGCTTCCGGTTCTCTATCTGTAAAAACAGTGCAGAAAACGAAAAAGAAGGTGCAGCCGGTGCTCCTACGAAATTCCCATTTCATGCATTTATAGCGTGAAAGAAGGAAAGAAAAATAGAAAATAGGTCCATCGAAAAACATATGCTCAGATCTCGTGTTATGATCCGACTCGTAAAATCGCTTATGATGATCATGGTATTTGAGATTATCTGGGATCCGGAATCAGTGACGCTATGCGTAGGTTCGAGTTTATCGAATGCGTTTTCGTGCCATCGGTCGTTCGTCCGATCCGATGGCGCGAACGGCGACCGAAGAAATTCTCGACGGTGCGCCTCCGCCTCGCCGAACGATCGCGCGACGATCGCGTGATCTCGCGACGACGAAGACGCTTCCGAACTCCACCGCATCGCGCGACGAGCGAGAAGCCTGCAACGTCCCTGGCCGTGCAGAGAGAGAAGCGAGTCCTCGTTCGTCGGGGCGAATCCACGGTGCCGATGGATGGATCGGATTCGTGTCACGATGAGAGCCGAAGCCGATTCGTACGGCTGTTTATCGTTAAAAAAAAAAAAGCGTGCAAACCAGGTGTGCCGGGTACCGCCCGAAAGCACGAGTGAATTAATTATCGCGAGCATGTGAGACGGCATACGCGTGCACCATGTCCGATGCACACGCCGTGTTTCACGGCACACCTCGTACCTCGGTGCGATCTCGATGCATACGGGCGGCGAGCAGGCCGAGGGATCGACCGAGCGGCGACACCGAAACGGATCGAGACTCTCACGGAGATCGTCGGTACGCTCCGGCAGGGGCGAACGGCCGACGAAAAATCCATCGGCCGTTTAAATCCCGACGGAACGTCGGTCGCTTACGAAAGGAACACGAGGACGTTCGGATGGAAAAACCGAGAGGGAGAGGGTCGTCGTGGGTCGAGTCCGATTTCCCTTTTTAGTTTCGATCCCCCCTTTTACCCACCTCGACCTTTTACAGGGCGAAACTCTGGGACGTGAAAATAAAATATTTTATGTCAAACCTGCTTAATAAATGACATTCATCACGCAGAAGTGACGAATTCACGATTTCAAAAATTTGAAATATAAGACGTTCGGAGAAGCGGACCGAGACGATGAGGTTCACTCGTGATAGAAATTTCAAAGAAAAGTACCCCGTGACGACAAACGGTAAGGATACCTACCGGTAACCGATAAAGGGTCGAACGGACTCCGGAAGGGTCGTTTCGATGCCTTCTTGCCGATTCACGCGCCCGAGTCTAACCGAAAAGCTCGACCGAAACGACCGAGTTTCACCGAGTTCCATTTCGGGAAATCTCTTTCTCTCCATCATACGAGTCTATACAGTTGACGTGAGACATGGCGGGGAATGGGGGGGGGGGGGGGG